GGGAGATTGAAGCGCTAACCACTCAGCGCCTTTTTGTGTTACAGGACAAATGTGAATTTCAAGGAAGACCAGGCCTTTTGCTATATCATATTCTTTTGGTGCAATTGTTAAAGAAGCAAAGCTATATCTGCTATAACAATTGACTACTATACTTTATTTTTCCAATTAAGTAGTTTTTTCGTGCATGGTAGAAGAATTTTCCCATAATCAGATAAGTAGGGTTGACGTTTACATTGAAACTGTGGTCCACACCAGCTGGGATGAGAACAACTTTTGTGAAAGCAAGGCTATCTGAAATTGAATGGAAACGTCAGCTAAACTCATATCATTGTGGGAAAATTGTTCTTCTACCAATCCTTCATCAGCTTAAACGAAATTGGGTGAATACATCTCATATTATCTTTATTCTGGTCACGTTCTGTTGGATGGCGGTTCAACAGCTTCGCTCTACTTTTAATCTCTCAATCAAGCAGAAGAGGTTGCTACTTAACTTTCCACAACCGCTCTTCTCATTCAACAGATTTCCTAATCGATTCACTTCAACAGCCTCTCTTCGCTTCCTTTTGACAACAGACGTATCATAATCGGCAAACTTACACATTTGAGATCATTTTCTCTCATGTCCAGTTTCTGACCGTTGGTTTTAGCTCTCTTTACGAGCATTTTTTGTTGTCCCAAAAACCGTCACACTTTCTTCTGTTATGCCATCTTTTGTGGGGAAAGATGACCCATTCTCGAGATCCGGCTGCCACAAGATTGTGTGCTTCTGTGCTCCACCTGATGCTGACGAGACATGCCGGCCTATTTGACAAAGATTGAGGCAACAGAAAATGCTCTTAAAGAGAGCTAACGCCAACGGTCAGAAGTGACCGAACACATTCTAGAAAGTGGACATGAGAGAAAAGGGTGTCAAACATGTAGGTCTGCCGATTATGGTACATGTGGTGTCAAAAGGAAGCTAAGCGAGGCTGTTGAAGTTAAAAGATTAGCAAATGCGCCTTCATTTTATTCCCTTCCAGAGGCGAGTCTCTGTTCAGAAGGTGAATTTCGCTGGTCCGCTGAGTAGGCGCATCAATAGACAAGCATTTACTCCCCTCATTTCCTCCGTTCTTCCTTGTGCATGTGTGTGCATGTGCATGTGCATGTGTGTGTGTGTGTGTGGGGGGGGGCTTTAAACGGACCGACCCAACCACTCGAACAACCGCTACGATTAGCCGCGAATCGGCGCGCTCCAGTCGTGCTGCCAAGTCATCGAAAAGGCGGCTCGCCACCTTCCGAGTCAGGCGGGACTCGGACCCAGCCTTCAGGCGGCCTGCGTGACGTTGTGGAACCTCTGCCTGCCAGTGCTACAGGCCGGACGTCTGGGCGAGCCTCGTCTTGTCGCCTGCCTCGATCGTCTACTGCGAACTCTGCGAACCCTCGACAGGTGGGCTCCTCCCCCGCGTCTTAGACAGCCTATCCCCTTTCTGACACACCTCGCGGTACCATTCTCACCCATTGCTCTCACCTCCCTCCCGCCTCCCTCACAGCATGCTTCACAGACTGCGCTGTCAGGGCCACATGATGCTGGCCCATTGCCTGGTCGAGGTCGAACAAATACCCGCCGCCATCAGACAGGTCGACGAGGTGAGTCGCACCATCTGCCTCTCGGGCCGAACATGACATACCTCAGCAGAGACGACCGGGTCGGAAAGATGGAAGGTGTCGTCATGTGTGCCAGTTATACACATGACCACCACCACCTCCTCCTCCTCATTCTCT